TGACACTTCACCCGAATCTTCATAAAATTTTGCAATAAAAATTCGAAATCGTAGTGAAATCACGAAGAAATAAGATTTTCGACATGCCTTTTACGATAGATCCACCGAACCCGTCAAAGTGGCGAGTCTCAGTTTCCTTACAATACTGGACAAAAATATAAGACACGGGATATTTCTATATGTCATATATTTTAAAGAAACAAATGTACATTTTACACATTCTATGTCTTATATACTATCTATAGAATGTATATACAAGATCTTAAGTTCGAAGGAAACATATTGCTAAAACTGCAAAAAAAAATGTCACACATTCTACAGATGGTATATAAGACATAGGGTGTATAAAATGTACATTTTTTTCTTTCAAATATATGATACATAGAAATATCCAAAGTGTCTTATATTTTTGTCCAGCACTGTATTTTGCAATTATTGATATCTCAGAGGTGTTAAATATCCGAAATGATTTTGAAAATTAATTGTTTCACTTAAATATTATAATGAATATACGAAGAAACCGGAAAAAATCTATCGTTACAATTTTTATATTTTCATATTTTTGTATTTTTACATTGCTGTATTTTTATATTTTATATTTCTATTTTTTTATATTTTTATATTTTTATATTGTATATTAAACGCTCGATGGTTCTAGTGTTAATGGTCCATAGCGCCGGCAGAGAGTTAAAAATCGACTTATACCCGAGCGCGTGAACGTCTACCTGTCATGTGTGTGAAGTACGATACTCGGGCTTCGTTACGTATAATTTCGTTAAGTTGCAAACAGACGGCTTCTCCGGAGTCAGTGATTCGCAGGCGTCGTCAACGTTGCGAATTCTCACATTGTTGCGCAATGGAAGCGTAATCGTTGCATGGCGATTTGACTGGTCGTTTCCAGGTATCGAAGAGAAAAAGAGGAACAGCAGAAATTGATTCTTATCCTCTGAGGAAGATTTGCAGGGAGCAAACTGGAGGTTTACCAGACTTTATCACAGATCTTTACGAAATAATGTAGAAAAATTAGAGTTGAATAAAACGGACTCGGGCAAATCAAAATACACGGACCATAAACCGAAAATAGGAAATTGACATAGTAAACTATAAACGAAAAAGTCACCAAATATAATAAATTATACAAAAGACTAAAAAATCACTCCAAGAACCAAGCTGCTAGGCTACTAGACACAGAAGAATAAGAAAGATTAAAAAGTTATCATTTTTTGCAATTACTATATAAAAGCAGCGCTGGCTAATTGGCGCTATACTGATACACCACTGCGTGTATCCACGCTCGCAACGTACACCAACACAGTATGTGCCGCATATCGTTAGATGATAGATTGCACACTATCAAAATGAAAATCAATAGAAAACAATTTACGTCAAGTTTCAAGTCTCTTGAAGGAGAGTTGATTCAACATTATAAAGCTATGAATAAAACTGAATGTGAAAATGTTCTGTTCTGTATTTTTCGAAGCTTTTGTCAGGCTGCACACTTTGTTTCTTTTGTTAGGAGTCTCGTTGAAGCAGTACTAATGTAGAATTCACTTCGAATTCCGGTAAAAGTGTTCGCTTCATTGCGTCCAATTACAATACAATATAGATTACATTGTATAATACTGTTGAAATTCGAGATTCCGAGCAAACGGGTGTCACGGAATATTTCGGTTTTGTTCGACGTACGCGTTTAAGGCACGAGATTCCAGAACTTCCGCATCGATACGCTCGCTCGCGTTCGAAAACTTTCGCAACAACGACTTATGCTCGGTCGCTGGCGAACCTTGCAAGTTCACTGAATAAGTGATATATCGTGAGCATCTATAGCGGGCCGCGTACCCGCGATCGATTGTGACTCGTAAAAAATCACGCGTTCGTAACGAGTCGCTGTCCCTACACTAGAAAACGTTCGACGGATACATTATACCTACAGCAATCGAAACGAAGAGAATTCGAAATTTTGAACATCATCTGAGACGTACACAATATCCTCGGTTTCGAAAGAACCAAAACTAAATTGCCGATCAATCGTATACCACATCTGATCATCGCATGCTCATTTCACTTGCCGACGAACTTACTCGAAAATTCGGAGTACCCTCGTCAACTTTTATCATCGTTACAATCACATCATTTCATTGCTACAAGTAGGAAAACGAAAACTCGCCATCTTGACGGGTGCGGTTATTCTAGTGTTAATAATATCCTTTTCTTTTTTCTTTCGTTACGTCGATAACGCATCCCTACACTGATCCGTAGGTACCTATGTACGATTGTCTTGTTTTTTTTGCTGTCGCTGGTGACCCACGTCGCACAGAAGTACCGGAGCTTCGATAACGAATATCTCGGGGCACGTAACGCGCTCGACACTAGGACGGACAGAAAAAAACGAAATCCACCGGCGAACGGAGGAACCGGCGATCAAAGAGTCACGCGCTCCCCTCGTTAGACAATTTGTTCGTCGAACGATGATTACCGGGGATTACCGATTCCACTCACCACTGTCGCCGTTTGTGATGCGCACACAATTGCGTAACCAACCTTCTAACTCGAAAATGATTGTGATACGGATAATCGGCCCGGCGATAACGACCAGCTGTCGTAAATTGACGCAGCCGTGTTCGGAAGTCCTAACGAACGGTTTCACATTTTAATCAGAAAAAATTGGCTCGCGCAGCGAATGATTAGAGGAAGCGACGCGAACGCTGTAATTTCAGCGGCCACACAACAGATATGCCAGCTCACCTGCTGCGAACAATAACGAACCGTCCCGTCGCGTCGCGGACGTACGCGTTAATTTTTTATACTCCTTTCGGGCCCTTTTTCGCCCGGCAGAGTCATTTTACTGCCGATTTCAAGCGAAAATTTGCCGCCAACGACTGCGATCAAGTAGATTTGTACAGTAATGATCAATTTCAAATTCTCTGGAGAATTCAACGCTACAACTGCCGAGTAATTAGAGCGATTTATTTATAATTTCTTCGGAAAATTAAGATAGCTCTTTTCTTGAGATCTAAAGTGCCTATCGCGTTCTGATTGCATATTTACAATAATATAAATTAAAATTTTGTAAAATCATATAATTAAATTTATAGTTTACGAATATATGAATGTATTTTATAATTTCTCGCGAGTGTACTCGCCGAGTTTCCTTAAAGTTTAGTCAAATTTCGTAGTGTCTGAATATCTTGCTGCACAAGAATCACCAATAGTTTTCAATTATTCGTCTGAATTTGAAACCACGAAACAGATCAAACACGACTTTTCTAGAAATCAATAGTGCCGATATTTTTTGCGTGACCAGTTCATAAGACAAGGAAGATCTACAATAAAACCGTGGTAGATTGATTAATCGATTCCAACCGTGGACTTTTACATTCTCCTCCATTTCCTCGATTGCTCGAAGAGTATTCTCAATTGAATTTCCCGAATTAATATCGAACGACACGTTTTTCAATGCGCCTTTCCACGGAACGCGCCTTCGTACACGAAGTTTTCACTGGAAAATGCGAACGATCTCCGAGAAACTCTTGGCTGCAATTCCAGACGAGTTGGATTCAACTTCCGATCGGAGTTTTACGAAACGACACTTTCTTACTGCTTCCCGAGGGTATTCCCGAGAAAGAAATTTCCCCGAACGATCGGACCATTGCGGGAGCCGTCGCATCGTGGAGAAGAGTGGTCCGCCGAGGAAGAAGTTAATGAAGACAAGTTCGAATCTCTCAAACATACTTCAAACAATTTCACAACGCGTGTCTTCGGAGGTACGATCATTTTGAAATACTTAATCCTGTAAAATTAACGTTCAAATCTGCTATCTAAATCATTAAACGGTGTCGTATAAAACGCCAATGAAATCATTCTAATTTGAAATACTTTTAAAAAACATCTTACTTTCCAAAGAATTCTGGTAATGTTTACATTTCTATGTAAGGCGGCGGCGCATTCACGCAAATGGCCTTCAGTGTCGAGTACATAAGACCTTTTTCCTACTTATACACATACCTTTTACAAGGCACTAGCGGATTTCAATAGTGTTACTGTCGTACATAACACCAAGTGTAGGATACACGTTTGTGGGATTGAAATAACGTTGAAAAATTTTGTCGAATAAAACTTTTTACTAAGATGTTGTCAGTTTGAAGGCTACAGAATGAGTGCTCGGAGAAGGGTACTGTCTAATCGGAGGACTGATCGACGAAACGCCATTTTGACCAGCGTTTGACTTTCCCTTCGCTAAGGTTATCTTACACAAGTTATTAAGATTAACACTATTACCCGACACAAATGAGTACGATTGAATTCCAGTGCTTTAATCCAATCGCATACTACTTGCCAAACAAGGGGTCCGTGACAATTTTAATACACAGTATCGTAGAATCGATTGGAATACCAATACAATGTAATTACCCTAACAAAGAGTCATTTCTGTCGCAAAATGACACGCGACGTTCCCACAGCGCAGACGACAAGTTGGCTCACGGGGCGACTCGAGGAGGGACATAATTAAACGTTACTCCCGCGATGTTTAACATGGCATTTCAAGCTTCCGCGGCGGCAACATTTCGTCACGACATTCGATTCGTAGGTCGACCTCCGTTTCCGTTGAGCAATGAAAACAGCGACAATGGGCAAGAGGAAAACGTCCGATTTCATTCATGAATGTTCTGAGATTTCTGGGGGAAACCGGAAAGAGCTCGGTTGGTGGGTTCGGTGGCTGATTGGACCGCAATCGCGGAGAACGGGGTGCAGGATGCGGACAAGGTCGCGGCCGATGGGCAATCCGCGCACGTAATCCAAAGCGCACTTCCGTTACACGGTTGAGAATTAGCCGGCCCGTGAATGGCCAACGATGGCGACGGTCTTTAATCAAAAAGATTAAAAAATGATACTCCAAATCCTCTGTTACGCACGCCCACATCCCGTGCGCCCGGCCACATCCCCGGCGCGGCGAGCCATTATAAAAACCTCGCGGCACGCGACACCGGCGCATATTGTTGCTCGCGAAAGTGTCAAGAAGCCCGCCAAGTGGATAGAGAGACTCGATCGCTGAACCGACCACAATGGGTACCAACCACGGTCTGCTGTTCCTAGGCATCGTGTTTGTGCACGCGGCTTGCGTTTTCGCCGGCGTGGTAAGCTTCTTGAAGGGTCTCGATGGGGCTAGATCCTTGTACAGTGCGAATCAAGGGGTGCGCGGGTATTTAAACGGACGGATATTCGGAATACTCGAAGTTTTCGGGTGTTTTAGTGTTGTTATCTGTTATTATGTCGATATTATTATATGTGATGATAGCATCTATAGTGTGGTAGATGTAATAGGGACTTTCGGACAACCCGACGTTTTTAGGTATCTTAGCGTTCCTAATGTGTATAGTTCAAATATGATGTTTATAGTATAATAATGGATGCAATGATAACTTTTTAGTGACCCGACATTTTAGGATATGTACCTTAGACAATTGTATAATACCTATATTAACGATTAATAGACTAATCCCGCCAGTAAGCGACAAAAATCATTTTATTATTTTGATTACTGTTATTGTCGTAATATTTACAATTAACGTGTTAAGTATTGTGCTAGGTCACTCGTGTGAATTTGTTTCCGCTTGTTATCTACGAGGAAACCACCTTTTACTGTTTTTCTAATTATTTAGTTGGGTCATTTATTCCAGGGTGTTAAACAGTAATGATATGTACGCGACAATGTCTTTTATTACCTTTGAATATTAGCTCATTGCTATATTAAACAACTTTGATAAAAGTTCATTGCCTATGATCATAAACACTCAACTTGCATATTTACTAATACCTTGACCGTTAAGTTCTTATGACATGACAGACCAATATCAGTTCGATTCTGATTGATACCGGTATCAAACGGAATCGACATTAAAAAGAAATCCGTAATCGAAGCATACGAAGTTCTTCAGGCGCCGATTAGATCAGTGCTCAATGCACGTTTCTTTCGAATATATTTTCGTCTCCCGTCTTTCGATAGAACGCATTATCCATCGTATCGATCGAAATTCAAATGGAGTATCGTGAATAGCGTGGCGTTACGTAAACTGTACCCGGAAACACGAAGCACTAGCCTAGACCAGTTCGGTTGGTTTTTTTTTTGTGCGTCTAAATGCACCGGTGACCTGTAAAGTTTTCAAGAAACTTCAGTTTCAACTGTTCGCAGATTTTAAGCCTTTGTTTTATCATTTCTTTTACAACTACCCCCTCCGAAGCTTCGTTGTTCTTAATAATTAACAAGGGAAAAAATGGGTTTACACCTATTAGAACTTATTAGGAAGGTAATATTCAATTTTGTTGTTGAGTTCGGAGGAAAAATTCTGTTTCAGAACTTCCCTCTCGATATTACAAGGCGAGGGGTTAACATCGCCGATCGATCCCGAACTCACGGGGTCGAGTGAATGTATGAATCATGAATCAACTATCCGCATAGTCGACGACGAATCGGGACTCGATATCTCTGATTGGGGATGGCATCAGGTTTAACCGTTGTGTTCGGTTATCGTATGATAGGGCTTACCATTCATACTGTCGGTGTCCAAATTTAAACGTTTATTGTTCGGCGGTGCACTCTATGTAATGATGACATCGATTGGATCAACTCGGTCCTAATGATTCTAATTGAGATTAAAATGTTATGATTCGAAGCGCCTGATTTGCAGTCTGGTGTTTGCTCCTGGCATTCAGATGATTTAAATGAGTTCCTTAATCTAACTGTTTAATCCATTTGCATTTTCGCTCTGAATGTGAAGCTTACTTTATAAATCAGAAATGCTCATCTGAAAGTCTTTCAAGCTTTTGATTGAAATTAATCTGCTCCGTCCAATATAACCAAGTAACGCATGGACAGTTGAAAGTAATTGTCTGTGGAATGTTCTGCCATTCGTGATAAGCAACAGTTACTGTGTGCAAATTATTCTGCTTAATGATGCAAATAGGTTAATATTTTAATTTGCTATTTTGTTCATTCATTTGAAAATATTTGAGAAGCTCTAACGATTATATATTAGAAATACGAACAGCAAAAGTTAGTGAAACCACCGTGCACGTCAAAAAAAATGGAAACGGGGATAAGAGATACATTTAGTGGAATATCTTGGAAACTACCGTAATTATCAACTTCTATCCCGTGAACTATTTGTACACGCGATATGGTTTCCTTTGAACTTTGTACCAACTTGTCGAGTGGAACACGTCGGCGTAAACAAAAGTTTAATGTTAATTCTCAAAGTTGTAAACAATTACGTGGGAAGTTTTCTTTTAAAAGTGGCTACTTTTGCGTCGGCCAAACGATCCGATTTATGTAGATCATTATCCAAAGCCACGTTCATTAACTTATAGAATCAGCGAAACCTCCTTTAGTTGTGTGCGAATCTGTTTCTAAGAGAAAAGAAAAGGAATACCAATCTTCTAAAGGTTAAACTTGTTTACTTCCTGTACTTCATCTCGCCGCTATCGCTGATTTCGCGAAAGATATCGTTACGAGACGTGACGCTTCGCATTACCACCAGTACTTGGTGTCAGATGGGATGTCGATTTACCTAATCGATGATGTTGAGACGGACGATAAGATAATGGAAGCTTCGACACGTTCGTCGCGAAAAAAGAAAGTTGAATACAATCCGATAATCCGTGGCCATGACTGGTATACCGCGGCAAAGTTCTGAAATATCAGACCAAACCGTAGATAAACCTCAGATATCCTTAACACTAGACCTACCGAGCAGTAAAACTGACTTTTCCATATTTTTTCGAAAATTTTTTTCTATGGAAACTCCAAAAATATTTCAGAGAAGCATCTCATATCTGTTCAATAATTGCGAAAAAAGAAATTAGAAATAGATCATTTTGAGCCGTGTTAAACGTTCCTAAAATACGAACACCAATAAAATAAAATTTTTCTGAAATTTCTTCTTATTACATTGCCGACTAAGCATCGAAACTAGAAGCATCGCCCCAATTTTTCTCTTAAACTACCGCAACAATACTCTAACATCTCGAAAACAATTTATTTGTAGAAACGGAATCGCTTCGAACTTTACGTCATGGGCGCAATAAACGTCGAATCATGGCATAAATAAATTCAATAAAGTTTGATACCGTTTACATTATTATTTTCACTGTACCGGTTAACCCCGTGTCCTATGATTTCTTTCATAATCGCGCTGGGTTAGAACAACTTTGATAATTTATCGAAAACCAAAGAAAAATTCCCGATTCATCTACATTCACTTTTACTTCAGAACATAAAAATCAATAATAAAAAAGTAGTATTCAACTTGAATCCAAAATAATTGAGTGTTGCTTTCTGTAACTTCTACTCAAGAACTTCCTTCCGAGTTTGACTCGATATTGTATGACAAGGGGTTAGCAATGAGTCACTACTAAATTCTACCGGAGCATTACGTATAGTTGCAATTGAATTTATTTACGCTGCTATTCGACAGTTTCACTTCAAAGGTGGAGAGAGAGCCACTATAGACAGATGTTTGTTCCGCGGGTGCGATGATTCACGAGGCAGCCGTCAATTGTTTCGATTCTGTTGTAGCCGGATTGGATACCACCTGAAGTAATCGACATGGTACAAGACGACAAGAATCGCTGCATGGCCGAGCACGGGACACAGGAAGGTTAGTGGCGACACAAGTTTTGGGGAACTATTTCAGGGAAACTGCGAAGCGCAGTGATATATTAGATCATCTTGTAAGTAATGTCGTTTCTTGTCTCGCTTGCCATGATATTTTTTAATGCCGGTGAAATAATGACATTAACAAATTAATCGAAAAATGGAAAATATTCGAACAGAATGATGATTACTGCGCCGACAATGAAAAAAACGCAAGTATTAATTTTCTGTTTAATTTTTTACACGAGATTTAACATAAAAAAAGATTACTTATAACATGACATAATATATATAGTACATGTACAATCGATACTTCGCCACTGCGAGACACTATCGAAAAGTTCTTTTCGATTTTTCGGTGAAATCAAGGTTTCGTTCGGGATAATGTACAAATGGTTAACACCTTGTAAGTTCTCCTAATTGAAAAACTATAATGAATTGAAGTAATAGGTCACTAATATTAGCGACGCGTTTTTATTTCAGTAAGCCAGTAGGTGAAATGTTAATCACCAGAGTAATCGATATTGTTATTTATGATATTTCACCAGTTTTCTGCGAATCTATGAGTACAATTACGATAAAAACTCGGTGGTTTTGATCAACTAAATACATCTAGTCGAGTGAAGCTCGTCGAAAAGAACTTTCCACTGCACTTAATATCTTATTTTTACGGCTTCAAAGCAAATCTCTATCGGTCACACGTTTCGCATTTTGAAATGCCGCGGTTGGAAGTTTCGCGTATCGGAATGTGACAGTCGATGTCGATACTCTTACATTCGGATTTTTCAAAGCGAATTTCTGTCGAATCAGCAAATCCCACAAATATTTATTGCGCATAAATTTACTCTTACATATATTTATTTATACGTTTAGATATTCGTTCCAATATTTACTTCAGGTTCCACTAGACTTGATTTGCAAGAATTTGATTAAAAATTATGACGCAATGAAAATATTATAAATCATTTTGACGATTCCCCGCGACAACGTTAAGCGAAAATCAAGGATAAAGATTTGCGATTTTCGTTTCGTTTTTGAGTTAGAAACGTCGAAACGCCATTCCAACCACGATAGACCGCAACAATGGGACGTGTGGCGCAAAGAAAGTATTCCATTCATCGCTATTAACGAATGTTTATGATCAATAACTCGAAATCGAGACTGAAACTGCAATTTCGCTACTCTTGATTTTCATCTCACTTTGGCCAACAGTAAAGCCTCTTAAAGTATGTACCAAGGAAAACATTTATGTTTATTTTGGAACCGTTACGTGACCATGTTCGTGCGCCACAGCCTTTTAAAGCGTAACATTCGTTTTATTGATTCGCGCGATCGGTTTTGTTTCCGCTGTTCAACATTGTTTACTCGAGGTAGTCAAGGTAGAGGCGGAGAAAGATCAAATTCACGTCGTTTTCTCGCCAGAACTCGAAATATTATATAAATAGGAACTGTTGCAATAATTAACGAAGTACATCCCACACCGAGATATAGCAACGGTTTAAAGCCGCAATTATTCCCAGGCAAATGTCTGTGATAATTGATTAAAAGTCCCTCCGAGTGAATCGAGTCGAGGTTGGACATGCATCGAAGTAAAAACTACTCCGATGTCGCGGTAAAACTTATTATACATCGTGGGAAAGATTATTTTCGACTGCACTGAAATAATTTCTTAATTCGGAATTCAGCGGAGATCGCCGAGGTTCAGGCCGGCAGGATAACGTCGGCTAGATCGATCACGTGCTACATGTACTGCCTGCTGGAGGCGTTCAGTTTGGTAAGTTCGCCGTTGTTCGATGAAACCACCCTAATTCCAAGTGTTCCGATTCACGAAAGAACCGCTCCGGTTTAGGTCGATGACGAGGGTAACTTGGAAAGCGACATGTTGATGGGACTACTGCCAGAGAACTTACAGGACACAGCGGAGAGCGTATTGGCAAAATGCACCCCGGCAGGTGCGTCTTAAACAAATCATTTTCTCGGGAGTTCAGTCATCCAGAGTATCTGAAGTAGTGTAAACCGAAGCGAGTCGGACCAAAATAAGAATTCAGTTCCCGTTTCTTGCATCGGAAATGAAGTTTTTCATTTCTTCTTTCTTATTCGCGACAGAAAGAGCTAAAAACTCCTCACTTTTTATTATTAATGTTTCAGTATTCTGATTTTTTTATTATCGAAGAGAAGATGATCCAAAAAGTTGAAAAATCTGATTTCATAGAGCAAAGTACGCGAAATGGAAAGAACATAATATTAAATCATTTTAATTGAATTGTATTACTATTATTGCACGTTCGTCTAGCTAAATGTCGCTGTATTAGATAGCATTATTTATAATGTAGAAATATTTTCAAATATTCATCGTTTAATTGGATTTAATTTAATTGGACAAGGAATCTTAAAAAGCAAATGTATAATTCGGCAGTTTGTTACGTTTGAGTCAGGTATTTCCTAATTAAACGTTTGATTTTTCAGCCGGCGCCGATCCATGCGAGAAGATCTACAATCTAGCTGTTTGTGTGTATAACACTGTACCAGACGTAAGTGAATCTCCTGTTCGTTTATTGCACTCGATGCACAATAAAATCGGAAATCGAGAGTTTCCCCGTTTTCAACGAAACAACTTAACTTCAACGTTACCGATGCGAGTTACCGATGCGAGTCACGGCAATCGATCATCTCAACGCGACGCTCTTACGAAGCGATAACGAATCGAAACGCTCAAATTCGCTTTCCCAGAAAACCATGATTCATGGGATTGCGCCATTGTCGCGGCAAATGATACATTTCATCCAATTAGTTCTAGTTTTACTAGTTCTCCAGCGTAACGCACGACCGAGGTAATCGTCGACTAACAATTAACGTGCATTCGGGAACAAGCTGTCAACTAGACGAATCGCGAACGAAACCGTGCGGAAATATCCTCTCTCGCGAGAAACGGTTCGAAAGTTACGAAAATGTCGGAACGACGGCAAAGGCGGGGAACGAAGTTTAAGAAGCGTCCTGTCTTGCAGTTGTGGTTCGTCGTCTAAATCGGGCGGAGGATCTTCTTTCGAAGCTGCGAGGCGGCACGTTCATCGGACCAACGGAGGAAGAACTTGAATTGAGAAACGAGACAGAACGAAGCTATCCCCTTCCCCCGTACCTTCCAATTGGCAAAACTGATGTACCATCAGCGCACAAACGATCGCATCAACGAAGCGAACCAGTTCTGTATGATTCGTGTACAGGTACCATAAACGTAGTTCACCTAAGATAAGAATTAACTCCCGGCCCAGTTCCTAAGAACGGACGAACAACCCAAACGAACTGTAAATTTCAATCCTCGAAACGATAGAAATATAATACTAATGAAGGAACGAAAGAGAAGGAGACTGGAATGACATAAAGACGCAGAGCAGGGATGACAAGTTTGAGTATCTTTGAAGCACATTCTATAGCCCTTCGTAGCGTTTCATCGCGCGATCCGATTTGTAGATAGTTAACGCCTTCTCCTATAATATCGTGTCAAACTTGTGATGGAAATTTCAAACTAAATTCGACAGGTCTAAATGTCATTTATTGACTTGTAACATAAATTAAATATTATTAGTCTATTATGGATCTTTAACTCGCAGAGTAGACGCAGACACAGAATAACTACAAAATTCTTTTCTTTCTCTACTAAATTATTACGAATTCAGTAATGTTATCAAGCAATTGTGAAAGAAATCATAGGACGAGGGGTTAACACCGAAAATACGCATTTCAGATACTAGACCTAGGATATCTATTTAATACAAGATACAAAAAGACAAACTATTAGAATTCTTACGAGACTTCGGTCTGAAACAGTTTCAAGTTACAACCTAACTAACCCGACCAACAGCCAACACTGAATTTTCCTAAAATTCATTATCGATACTGCTTTTCACTTGATCAGAAGACGATCGAATCTATATTCTACAAAACTTATCACCTCTGCTCTGCGAACGCAACCCCTAACTTTATTCCAGGAAAACCGTCGAGCTAGACCGATCGAAATGCTCGTACACGAGTTCGGAGGATTAGTCGCGGCCGATTTATTTGGAAAAGCGAGCGTTAATAACCGCGTGTCTCGTGGCGAGCCGTGTTACGTAAATCCGGCCAGTTCGACGCGGCGCACGATTCGCGACCCATCGACACTATAATTTCCGTGACAATCTAATTCGCGAGTAGTCCGGGCTCGATCCGGCCAGATTACATGTTTACGCGGGTCCCTCGCGTCCTGGAACCCCCCTGGCCCCATCCCGGGCCGAAATGATACGCGAAATCCCACGCGCCAGAATGAAAAGTGGTATTCTCGGTCGTTCAAGATAATTTTATAATGACTCGGCGGCCGGCCGGTCGACGCGCGACGCACGCCTCTTACGCAATCCGTTGTTCGGTAGCTGTTGAGGCGACTCAGCGCGCCGGCCGGTAGTCTTAACACCTTATCCGCCGGACAGCTATTAATAGACTTTTCAATCACTTACAATCTTCTATTAAATAGCGATCAGCTAATTTCCTTCGAAAGATAGCCCTCGAGTGGTAATTGCATTGTGTTACTCGGCGCGATTCGCTGATTCATGATTGTCCTTAGAGGAGTTGATGTTCATTTGGGGCTGTTATATAACTTTTTTAAAATTCAATATGCGCCGCATCAACGCATTCCATAGGCTTACTGTTTACTACCCAGTAATCGATTCGAATGTTCTCAACTTTTCTGTGAAAACCATGAGTTGTCGAGATTTTGATTAGTTTGTGTTTTGATCTGTGAATTATTGAATCAGTTTTCTTAGAGAAGCATATTGGTTTTTTCGAATAATTGTGGAAAAGGAGATCTGGCGCGGGTCGTTTTCATCTGGTGGCTGTAGTGTCAGTCTTCAATAAACCGTTCAATAACTGCTGGTAGATAATATGCTAATTCACTGGGGGAAGTCCGGTTGGGCGTCGACGAGGATCCGTCGTTCCCCATGCGACAAAACCGACTGTTGCCTCAATTTTTTCACGATCGAACAGGATCACGCGACTCGATCGCTGAGGTTGACACGGTTCCGAAAATAACTGATGTACAGGGTGTCCTGTGAATGAAAGTTTCCTGGAGGGTGTGAGTTTACGTAAAAAAAGAAGTCTGAAACGTGGAATAAAATATGATCAAAATATGACAGTTACGAAGCATCAAAATGATAATACAACGACTGTTGGTGTAAAATGACGCTGGTTTAAACCGATTTGCATCGTGGTTTCATACAAACTGTTGTTGTATTGATTTTGCACTAGTTTTACTGTGTTCACGCAGTTATTAACCGGTGTTTCTCTCGCGAATGATAAGTATAAAGAAAAAATAAATTTAAATACTTTTTTGTCAAATTTTCATGTCGGCATAATTTCTAGAAAAATTAACATAACTTTTAATTCTTTCATTCGGCTTAGTTTTCATTTACAATCAGTTGTATTTGTTAATGTTTATACACTGAGTAAGGTATTTTCTTTTTCTCGCGTATTTATCGTTTACAAGAAAATACGTTGACTATGTGCGTGAACACCCTGTATACGGGTTCTATGACAGTTCTATATAAGTTCTATAATTCCAACTTCCGGTTCGGTTCTTCGTACGGCAGACAATGCGTAAGAAAATGTATTCACCTTCCGTTCCAATTCGATTTGCTCCAGATTTGGAGACCAACGATCAAGGAATGCATTAATTTGGACCGGAGCTTAACGTTGTTCGCTTATAAGTTTAATCGACTGACTGAGACAGTTTTAAATCGAAAGGAAACTGCAATCTGCAAGACAATTCCTTCCGCTGCTGAAATTTATTTTACCTCGCATCGCGCGAAATCGAATTCAAACGTAATCGATAATACATTAATCGTGCGTCTCAGTCAGAACGAAGTAATAGTGACCAACGAGAAACGTCAAAATTCGAAATTCACAAACGAATCTGTAATTGGTGCATTATTGATTTAATACTGGTCCCTATCCGATATCCAATATCATCTGTTTGTAGAAGCTGATGCAGGACCAACACAATAACAGTTATAAAACCGAGACCGCAACCGATAAAACCCAGAACCCTTTTTAATCTTCAATCCAATATTTACATTGTTGTTCAACCTTCTGACAACGGTGTCCAAAAGAGACAACGAATTGTTTAATCTTTCTACGTTCGAAGTAAAATGAACAGTTTCAATTCCCGTTGCACTGCCTCGTTGATATTTGAAATATGTATGGAATGATCATCAAAGTCAACCGACAACTAAAATTCTCTGCCACTGTCGGTAGAATTCGTTAGTTCCAGAATCTCTGTTGCATCTCCAGCGCAAAGTAATGTTTATCCAAGTACAATGATTATACGATAGATTCCGAATCGATGAATAACCCAAGTGAATCAATAAACGACGAGGTTTCTCAGAATTTCGCGGCATGGCGAATCCCAAGAAACATAATTACATAGAAAACGCGATCAATGAAGCTTGTATATAAATCGCTCGAACCGCGCCATTCGCCTCTAAATTTCATGGGGACAAACGATTCCTGTGGAAAACTAAGTACGATATTTTTCGTCAATTTGTTACACTGTGGAAGGGTTAAAAATATTCCGAGGCTGCGAGCAGAGTCGTTTGTACAACCTAAAGCGATCGTGCGCCGTGGAAAACTTGCGCCGAAATTTTCCAACTTTCACCGTCGTGCAAAAAACGAATTACATAAATAACGGTCATCGAACAGAAAAGAGCGTGTTCGAAATAATTTGGGAACGGTTTCGATGATGCTGGAGATTTGATCGGACTCTAATCCGAATTCCGGTTTGCTCGTTAATATTCAAATTGCATCGGATCGTCACGTTGGATAGTGTTCGCGGCAGGCCGGCTCGAAAGGAGACGCCACGGACAACGATAGATGCGAGTGATGCTTCTAACCCTCGCCGCCAGAGGGCTACGGGGCACCGACTTTCTTGCTTTTGCTCGGTCCCTCGCTTATTAGCATATATACTGTCCTTAACCACTTGCCTAATGTCCTAGCATCTAAGAGCTGGGTCTACTGGATAGTCTTTGGTCTGTTTGACAAGATGAGAGAGTCCCCAGTTCAGATAAATAAAAAGCAGCATTATCGGTGTTTGCTTCGAATGAAGGAAAAACAATCGAGTAAAAATTTTTTCAACCTTACTGCGTCTCTAAAAAACTGGGTGGTGTACTATTATAATCATATTGTGTCTCTTGTTTTAGAATTACTGACTCTTTAAACAAATTATGGATGAGTCCTCTCAGGAGACCCAGAAAATTAGACGCTGTAACTCCTCCTCCTCCTTCCTCTCTATTTTCACCAATCCGTGTCTCTCCTTCTTTCCCTTTGGCCTCCATTAGTGTCAAGTAAACCTAAACAAGGCAAAAATCTCATGTTCCGATCCTTGCTCTCCTGTTCCACCTCCGACATTCCGTTGCAAACTTTTCTGAGAATGTCGAGAAGGCAGCATTCCTTTCTCGCTTACACCAGAGACTACTACTCCTACGTAAACGTTGTGTCATGCGTGATCGTGCAGAAAAACATAAGATCACAGCAAAAAGAAAAACTGAGCTGAGGATTGTGTTGGCATGGAATTTTGGCGATTCGGCGCACGGGTTAAATACACGCGGCAATGGAAACGGAGACAACTACTGAGAGAGAGATTCTGTTGAGCAATTTGTTGGACAGCGGCGGAGTTAGATGACTGTAAACGGATATTAGTTGGAAAGGGAAGGAAAATCAGAGTGGATAACGGAGATATAAAGAGAGAGTAGACGTGTTGTAACGTGAGTACAGAGGTAAAAGGGTGTCAACATAAACGAAGGAGTGTTGTTGTGTGTAAGAGTCAAAGGAAAGTAAATATATAAGAAAGACTGAATATGTTAGTAAATAAAAAGGGGGGATAAGAGGACGTATGCAATTAGAAAATAAAGTTACGAAAATAAACGTTAAGAGGAAAGAAACATTACACAAGTAAAAAAACATTATAAATATACGTGAGCAGAGGGAAAATATTGCACGAATGGACAGATATACAGATAATTGAATAGAATAAAACAAAAAGAAATAAAGAGAAATATAATAAAGGTGAAGGGAAAAGTGTACCATGAGTAAGAACAGGAAACAATTAATAGGGTCTGGAATCCGTTCCTTCCTGGACTCCATCCACACTGCTCAGCCAGACAAATTAAGTGTGTACTCCGCAACTGTGTCGAACGTGGTCTGTTCTCTTCGTCGATCTCGCGAATTTCATGAACGTGTACGTCGGCAGGCAGTAGGATTCGGGACCGCGGATGTCGAGAAATCGAAAGGAGCAGCGCGTCCCGCGCACGGAGAAAAATCTTGA